CTTTTTTCAATAACTACAACTGACTCAAGCATTGATAAGAATACTGGACATTTGAGCTAGAGCTTTAAGACTGACCGAGGTACAAACTACATCATCAACAACATCTTGTAAAATTCAAGTTTACATTGAGAAGAGCTTTCTACTGATTGCATTTAGTTTTGGTAACGAAAAAAAACGTAAGTTAAATCTGTTATAAGACAATATACCTAAATCAAGCAAATGAGTATTTGCTGAGAAAACTGAAACGGAAATCTGGTACAGATAGTAGCGCAGGAAATTGACATTGGATTCATACAAAAATGAATCCCACCATGTGGCATGCCTAAACAAAAAGTGTGCTAAAAGCATACCAAGCATCTATTATGAGTAGTTACCGAGAAAACTGCGACGAAAATTTGTTACGGACAGACACACAGACGGACAGATACACAAGGGTAAAACAGTATACCCCCTTTCTCTTTTGGAGCGAGGGTATAATTAATCTATTTGATTAATTGGACAATATTATGAACGTGTATCGATCACTTTTTAATGTTGAATTTAATACAACTCAACAGATTTCAGATTACCAAAGTCATTAGTTTCTTAGTGTGTGTTGCACTGAGTACCACAACCATATTCCGGTATAATGTTCCTGCACATATAAGTAATCATTTATCGAAGTATGGTTTTTGTTCTCAATGCAACACGTGATGTACAAGAAGGTTAAACAAAATAACCCTCAATATTTTCCCATGTACTCAATGTTAAAGTGGTTGAGGGTACCATACTTTCATCATTTATTCAAAATCTTCCTAATTTTTTTCTCTCAAAAAATACACAGCACAAATTTAGACATATTGAAAATAGTGAAAATAAGTTTAAAATTGTGGACAATTCAATTTAATTTTTCGCTAAAAAAACATGGGACAAAAAACAGCCTTATGGAAACCTCTTCTTCATAATAAAAATAGAGACCAACAATTGGTTTGAAACAAGTCAGCCAAAATATGACCCAATGATAGGCTTTATCTGTAACAAACATAGAATTTACGGAATGCTGACTTTAAACAAGGCTGTTGAAGTATCTGTAACATCATCTTATATATCAGTAGCCTGCCTTGGTTTAATAACTGATCGTACGCATAGCATGTTCCTGGATATCGAATAAGTTGGAGAAAACAATGTAAAAAGACCACACGTAGTTGAGAAGGGAATTTTACTACATAAATGAGGACAGTTGACGATGGAAAAGCTGAAGTCTTCTCGATTGTCATACATTTTAATAATTACCGTCTATAGAAAGTAAATAGTCTAAAAATGAAAGCAATCAAATAAAAATATGAAATCAAGTTAAATACACACAGTAATGAAGTAAACCTGAAAAAAAACTTTAAAAACTTTACACCTACATCTGTTACATAAATTCCGTGCAAGAAACTAATACATGAATGTGATTCGAGAAAAAGAATTGCAGGGAATCAAGATTACCCTAAAAAACAGCGGGTTATGAGATTGTCTAGGTTCGTTTTGAATATGATTATTTCGACTAAGGTAATTAATTATTTTACTACAAATTAATACACTACTCATAAAATACTTCCTACATAATCTTAAGAAGGTAAAATAACTTTTTTTACATAGTTTGAAAATTTCAACATGGAGAGAAGCTATACCCTGAGGTATAGTTTGTGATACCCACCGCTAGGAAAATTTTCATTCAAGTTTTACCGCCTATTTTGATTACCTGCAATATGATTGGTTAGCAACTTTTCCAACACTGAAGTGATCCTCAAAGCTACACTCCGGGATGTGCTATCAGCCAGTGGATAAGTGTAAATATATACTATTGAATTTTGCCCAATCGCAAGTGAGAAAGTCAAATTATTGTGTACAATAAACAAGAGGCCCATGGGCCACATCGCTCACCTGAGTAACTTTGGCCATGCTGTTCTTTACCAGATTTCCCCCCTTTAATATACCTATTGTGGCCCCGCCCTACCCCCGGGGGTCGTGATTTGAACAATTTAGAATCTACCCTACCTCAGGATGCTTCCATATAAGTTTCAGCTTTTATGGCCCAGTGGTTCTTGAGAAGAAGATTTGTAAAGATTTTTCTTAAATATTTCAATGTAAAACTTGGATTCCCTATTGTGGCCCCGCCTACCTCCAGGGGTTATAATTTGAACAATTTAGAATCTACACCACCTCAGGATGCTTCCATATAAGTTTCAGCTTTTCTGGCCCAGTGGTTCTTGAGAAGAAGATTTTTTAAGATTTTTCCTATATATTTCAATGTAAAACTTTGATTCCCTATTGTGGCCCCGCCCTACCCCCCGGGGGTCATGATTTGAACAATTTAGAATCTACACTACCGCCATCCTCGCAAGGCAGAGGTCCTGTGTCAACACGTTGCCGTTGGACCCCTGGCATATTTCATTCAATATTCGTGGGATTGCTTCTCTCATTTAGAAGTACCAATCAAATTAAAGCTTTCATAAATAGTTAGATAAGGATTCAGTTGACACCTCAAATGCACGTGTTACAAGTTGTTTATCATAGAATGGCTTAATGTGATTGGTTGAAAGATAAGAAAAGCAATCAGGATTTGTAATTTTTCCGAAAGACGTCGCTACAGTCAGCCCAGAAATATTGAATGAAATATGCCAGGGGTCCAACGGCAACGTGTTGACTCAGGACCCCTGGCTTGCGAGGATGCACTACCCCAGGATGCTTCCATATACGTTTCAGTATTTCTCAAGAAGTGGTTCTTGAGAAGAAGATTTTTAAAGATTTTTCCTATATATTTCAATGTAAAACTTGGATTCCATATTGTGGCCCCGCCGTACCCCCGGGGGTCATGATTTGAACAATTTAGAATCTACACTACCCAAGGATGCTTCCATATAAGTTTCAGCTTTTCTGGCCCAGTGGTTCTTGAGAAGAAGATTTTTTAATGACCCCACCCTATATTTTTGTCTTTTCTTAATTATCTCCCCTTGTAAGGGGACTTGGCCCTTAATTTTAACAATTTAAACTCCCCTTCACCCAAGGATACTTTGTACCAAGTTTGGTTAAAATTGGCCTAGTGGTTCTTGAGAAGAAGTTGAAAATGTGAAAAGTTTACAGACGGACGGACGACGGACAACGGGCGATCAGAAAAGCTCACTTGAGCTTTCAGCTCAGGTGAGCTGAAAAAGTATATTTAGCATCCATTGTCATAATTTATTCATATTCTATAAACAATTAAGAATATATTGATTTTCAATAAATTAAGTAAGAATATAATTTGTTTTCTGGTTATATATTTTGTACAATAGAATCTTACATCTATCATTTACCATTTATTTTTTGTTAGAAATAGATATATATTGTGAAATCACCTATTTTCGTGGGTGTCTCAAAGTATGAGAATTAGAATTTCAAATATATACTCATCATTTCTTCATCCAAGAAATTAAATATCTACGAAGCCATATGTTTTTTCTCAAACCACTAAAATTTGATCTAATGAAAATACTTGAATCTACATTATATAATAATATTTGTTATACAGTTGAAAACATGCACCCTACATGACATAATCATGAAATCTTACACATTATAATAGGATTCAGTTAGGATATAGAAATACTACAGTCAAAATAATATATCACAGAACCGTATTTATAGCCATAGTTTTTACCACATCCAGTCACAAGTATTCCTATATTCCAGTTCTCAGCAAAATGTTACTGAGCATTTTAAATTGACTCCTTAGATCTCTTTTTGTCCATGAATGAAGAATTTGAAGATAACAACAGTGATCGATCTTAAAAAAACTACTAACAATACAAATTTGTCAACAGGGTTTAATAAAGAGACCCCAGGAAATTTCAGTGGTGGGATCAGGTGCCTAGGAGGAGTAAGCATCCCCTAGTGACCGGTCACACCCACCGCGAGTCTTATGTATTGATCAAGTAGATGGAACATTTCGTAGTCAAACTTATTATAAAAACAAAGGCCTTATAACTGGTATGAAACACATAAGCCAAAATAGGACCAAATGATAGGTCAAACATGTATTTGCTAAGAAGTCAGGGTTCGACACTAACGTTAGTCCGTTAGTCTCAGACTAACACATTTTCATTCGGACTAATAAAATCTGTGGCTAATTAGTCCGAGCGGACCAATAAAAATTTCTGGAAAACAATATGAATAAATTACCGATGTCCGATTCTCGAGAACTTTTACTGGAAAACCTCCGTGTATTTTTAGATTTCTAGCTTTTGGCGGGTAGTTACGCAATTCTGAGTCATGATCGTTTTTAACAATCATGATTTAGTATGACACTTTAAAGAAAGATGTTGGACGTTTTGGATGTAATGTAAAGACAAAAAAAAAAAAAAAAAAAAAAAAAAAAAAAGAGATCGGGAATACCATCGTACTTGCTGATTGCGAGATTTCAACGAATCTGTGGAATAATGTATTTCACGTAAATGCTTTGTTTATTTAAAAAAAAAGTATAGAATGTCTATTAATTGTCAATTTAAATTAATGTTTAAAAACATTGATGTTTCTTTTTCTTTTCTTTTCTTTTTTTGACGGACTCATAAAATCGCGTGCGGACTAGTAAAAGTAAAGAAGCACTAGTCCGGCCGGACTAAAGCCTAAAAATGTTAGTGTCGAACCCTGGAAGTTCATTATAAGGAAGACATAATTTACAAAATAAAAATAATGTCCTACAAATTTCTTGAATTTGAATTACTATAGCAAGTACATGTATTGATTTGTTTGTGCAACTTGATGTTAAATTCACTTTTTTTTCTGCACTCCAAATGTTTTGTTTATTTTGAGTTTTTATCACGTTTACTGTTCACTATCTTCATATAACATTCAAATTTTATTTGTAAATCGTGTAATTGTTTCTTGAATATATATGCTTTTTTAAAAAATGACATCATAAATTATATATTCTTATAGAGTGTAATTGGCAGTTAATCAAAGAATGGTAAAGATACATTTATATTATGTGTGTAGTATATTTATGAACATAAATCGCGATAAGATATGGAGAACGATTTCTTTTTTTTATGATACATATCAATATTAAAATAAAAATAAGGATTTTCTTATTGCTGCTTTTTTACTTCAAGAAAAGATGAATTAACTAAGTTCTTCCGAAGGCTTTCATGATGTTTTCTTCGCTTTCAGTATAGAATTAAATCACTGATTGCTGTAAATATTTTCCTCTGTTTCCTCCTGTGCACGAATGTAGTCCAAAACAACATTGTAAATCATCATGTACTCTTCCTAGAAGAAGAAAAAAATGATAGAGATGTGATATTAAACATCATTTTTCATTGCAGAGAGTTGACACTCATAAGATATCCATATCCATAATGCATGTGATGTATTTGTGAAAGAAATTACCATTGAGGAGCAGAGTTCTGGACGTCTTATTTGTAACTGACGGACAGTTGAGAAAATGTCCACCTCTCCGTCCATAGACAACTGTTGTAGTGTGTTATATACAGCACAGAATACACCACATAGGACTGCTCCGTCACTGATAATAAAATAATTTAAATATCCATAGACAACTGATGTAGTGTGTTATACACAGCACAGAATACACCACACAGGACTGCTTCGTCGCCGATAATATAAATAATACGTGAGAAACAACAATTTGTGTACAATGCAATTATAAACAAAACAAGGGGTCATTTGCATTTTGTTTTCATGTTAACCTACATAATGATTTAAATCCATTATTATTTCACCTCTACCCAAGTACATTCAGTTGTATTCCATTCAAATCCTGATGATATTAACGCATACATATACGTAATTTACAAACATAGAGATTTTCACTGTTATAGGAACATGCGTTTTTGAATAAAAACAAAGAAGTTTGTTTTATATTTTTTTCAAATTTTGACAGTATTTGTCTTTAAGATGAGATGAGGACATCATAATTCTTCTAACAACAAGGAATCTATGAAACTCTTTGAGTTCTCTTGATTAATTTTATATAATTCTTTAAAGGATCAATGTTTAAATATATGGTTAGGTGTAATTTTAGTATTTTAAATAAATATTACTTAATACACATTCTCAGTAATTTGTTGAAATGAATTTTTTATTAATCCAGAACTAAAATTAAACTATCAAATGCAAGCTCGACATTTGCATTCACAATCTGGACAATTGTGTATTTCATTTTGATAACTTGATGTTTAATCTTAGTTAGCCAAAAGGCAATGTAATTTCAGTTTCCTACTTCTGTACATTGCATGCATGTCCACAATTTCTGGTAGAGAATTAGTGTATATAAAATTGAACAAAAAACACGACAATATTTTTGGCTGGATAAATTGTGTCCTTCTCTCCAGAATATGACAAACGTTCCTACAGCTATTTCTCACAATTATGTTTGAAGCTTTGTTGTATAATCACCTGCTGACGATGGTAATAGGACCCTCCGTTTCACTTTGAAGAGCGAAGGTCACCAAACGTAACATCTGCGCCGTAGCCTGGGTACCTTCTGTTGTTTTTAAGCCTCCCTTTGGCTCTACAATGGACACTGAGCTCCTTTGTTCATTTGTCTGAAGAGAAAATGCCAAAGAAGTTGCTTCATTGAAAGGAATTATGAAAAGTCACTTCATCAAAGAGAGTCATGGAAATAGTCAAGCACCTCGTTGATTTGAAATCATATATTTTTTACATTACCATGTAATACCTACCCCATCCTGGGTAATGCTGATAGTTGTACATTTAATTTCTGTAACTTGTTCTTGCCCACAGTTTACTGTGAATGGGGACACAGTCTTTACACTATTGGCAGCTGGAAGCCACTTTTTAGTCTTGGGAACACAAAAAAGGTATCAGTCTGAACATTTTTAAAACATAAACTGAGCATTAGTGTAACAGTACTTACCGATTCAACTTTATTGAGGGGATCCATACATATCACAACGTCTGACTCGTGATCAGTGAGCAGGCGCAGGAAGTCAACAGCGTCCTCTGGTGGAGGATAGTATGTTACTATGAAGGCTTTATTTTTTGTGTAAGACTGAAATAAAGAAAAAGAAGTAAAATTAAGCGAATACTTTACGGAAAGCAGTTTTCATTGACTAAAAGATGAGGACTTCTAATCAAAAGATTAATTCTGAAAAAAATTATTGAGCGCATATTCTAAAAGATATAGTGTCTTGGCCGTGCAATGTCATTATTTTGTTTAACGTTACACCTTTACTGTCTAGAATCTATTTTTTTTCTATAGCATACATTGTGTTATGAACATAACACTCTCATGACCAAAACGTTAACGAAAAAAATGTTACAACAGATAATAAATCAATACATTTGATTCAAAGGGTTTTATAGTTTTACGTACGGGAAGTGTAACTGCATTGATGTAATTGCCACGCTTTGGTACACTTGACGACAGATAGAGGCTATACTTGTCAACTACAAAAAAAGAAAACCTCACTTTATATAACGTGACGTATCTGACGAGATTGGGGCTCAGATGGCTCAAATTAGAAAAAGCAACGCAGCATCTGTCCTTGACACTTACTACTCGTGGTAACAACAATAAATAACGAAAAATATTATCATTGGTTTCATTCACTTCAGCACCAGGTTTTTTTTTTTAATAAGACCAAAAACTTGGGGGAAGTAGAGATTGAAGAGAATTCCTACATTATCATAATAAGTAAACTTTGCAATACTCTGCCCTAGATCAGAACTGTATACTTATGCAACTTTTTCATATTTCTTTTTATAATATGCATTTTCATTGGCTATGATCTGATGTTTCAGGCGGTTAAACGATCATTGACGTAATGATGATACAATGCACAAGGTATTCCTGTAAACTATTTAACAGACTTAAATATCAGCGAGATTCGGGTTTGTATATCATTGCAAATTATTGCATGCTTTTGATGAATTAATGCAGGGTATAATCAAGAATGTGAAGACATTATTTGGAAGAATCATTGTTGGTCGCTCAAATGTTTGCAGTCACACGAACTAGTAGACTGCTTGACAAAGAATTTTTATCTATATAATCAGTCAATTTATATGTATTATTGTTGGAATTCAATTCATCAACTGATTTTATATTATGACTTACGTGGAAGAACAGCTGATTTATTTCCGGCGCTTTGTAAAGCAAATTTGTAATCCGCTTCTGTGTACGTTGGCCTCACTCTTAGAAGATTCTAAATGTAAAAAGTACTTTGATATATCTCTCAAATATTGGCATATATGGAGCATTACTATATGTTCACACTTACAAATGTATGGAAGTTTAGCAGTTTTGTATAATTACAAGAATTATGTGAGCCAATGCTCACTAGTAATATCCCCGTTTGAGGTGAATATATACTCTTATGTGAATATACAAAATATACACTGTTTGCTTAATTCCCTGATTTCAAAATGTACCTGGAATTCCTTTCTGAGATCACTTTCATTAGCTGGTTTATCACGTGACAATAACTCTGCTTTTCGTAGCAAATCAGGTTTGTTGTAAACATATGTTGGAGCTCTGAACATAGCGTCAAGTGCAAGGAAAATAGTCATGTATTGCTCCTGAAATATTAAAAAACAAACAATACTTTCCAAACTACAGCATTCAATTTTGGTAAAAATCCATTATTTATCTAGTGTAAATGTTTATAAACCATTTTATTTGAAAAGTTGTTTTATAATCATGACTTTCGGTAAACTAGTTCCATTTCTCAAAATTATCGACAAATTATTGATGTTTTAAGAAATTGTATTTGCAAACTTAAATACTATGACTGGTAATGATAAGCAAATTCAATATTTTTATACAATAAATCTTTCATTCAAATTAAAATCACATAATACATTTACTCACATATGTCTGGACCATGTTCATTCTGTTCTCTCTCATTTTCTTCACATATTCCGCGATGTTGACTTTCCTGTCCCTCTTTCCCGCCTTGTATAAAGCGTCAATCGCTATGTAGGTACCTGTGCGACCGATACCAGCGCTAGGAATATTAGAAGAAACAGGACAAGCTAAAGTTAAATGATATTCAAGCATTCATTCCAAAAGGTAAAGAATATAAAATATATACTTTATTCCCTGCTTGATGAATAATAGAAAAAGAGTAAGAAAACGAAAAAGAAAAACACCTGCTTAATCCTAGTTAATCTTGTTTACATTCATAGAAATAATTAAACTATAACCATTGATGCCAAGAAATTTCTTTGTAGCTGATTTTACATAAGGATGAAATCAATGATATGCGATTAATACTGCGCTTTAATAACCTGCAGTGTACTAATGTTGGTCCACCATTACTCTTATCTTTTGTCCTTGTCACGTGATCATGAAAAACTACAAGACAGAGCGGTTCCGGTGTCCCGTGGTCTGGCCAAGCAGTATAATGGTACTGGGTTACTATTCGAGATTTGTTAAGCTGATGATTAAAAAAAAATATTTTGTACTTTTCATATTACAGTTACAATGTTATTGAGAATGTTCATCCCTCACCAAGGAATGACGTCTGTTAAGCATTTGTGAAAGGGTAAATTTTAATATTTGATCACTTGAAAATTTTCCTTGATGGTCCTCCACACACTCCACACCTTATGTTGTAATATTACTGAGCATCCCTTTTAACAAACATATCAACCATTACAAAATTTTAAAAATCTATTGAAATATAATTAAAAGAGTTCTTTTTTTTTTTTTAAAGTTTTTTCATAAGTATTATTTTTTCTCATCGATTTCTTTTAAGAAGCACATGATTTTTTTCTTCTGACATCATAAGATCATAAGACAACCACAAAAACTGAATTTCTTCTGTCAACAAAATTTGTTCAGAAAAATTATAAGTTACAAAAATTTACTGAAACCTTTTTTTTCTAAAATACATAGATGAAAAATTAAGAAAGACGCCTGATCGTATAGAGGTAGCATTAATAAATTAAATTACAACAAGAAATTTAACTAAAATCAAATCTATTGATATGGAGGAACAATTTTCAAAATCATTGGTATCAATGTTCCTTTTTAGAGTTATCTTTCAGGTTTCTTGTAATAAATTGGATTGATAAACGTGAATGCATGAATACAAAAAAAAACCCATTTTCCCACAGTTATACATGAAATATATGGAGATAGCGAACAGTATTCAAGCTCAAAAGTTCATTAAACAATACAAAATAGGAGCAGAGCAAACACGGACCTCCAAACATCAGAGGTGGGATCAGGTGCCATGGAGGAGTGAGCATCCCCTGCCGACCGGTCACACCCACCGTGTGCTCCTTGTCATGATCGGGAAGTAACGGAAAAATCCGTCGACAATTCAGTGTGTAAATAATGGCCTAACAATTAGTATGAAAAACGTCAGTCAGCATTTGACTCAATGATAAATTGTATTTGCTGACAAGGTCATTGTATCGACCATAGAACTTACGAAATGATGACTTTAAACGAGACAGCTGATATTCTTGTTTCATCAACTTATTTGTCAATAATTTACCTCGTTTTAGAAATTGTACATATGTAGAGCATGCTCTTGCGTATCGAATCAACTGAGAGATATATACCCCGTATGCAGGTGATGAAGGTATATTGCTGCATAAGTAAGGGAAGTTGACGATTGAAAAGTTAAAGTCATCACGTTTATCATAAAGCTTGGTTGTTAGATTACCATTAACGTCTTTTTCAAGTAAAATATCCAAATATGAAACAGATGTGTCAGACTCTGTGGTATACATATTATTCAAGAATTATTATACTACAGAAACTCAAAAGTTTGTTCTTAAACTGATAAAAAGACACTTTTTTCTCTTGATCACACCATGTCGGTGTGTGTTCATTGTTTATGATTGGGTGTGTTGCTTTCAGTTCACTGCACGCTATACCCTTGATGAGATGTTGTTTCTTATAAACGTTTGCATGAGTTTCCTAAAGGTTGTGTCATTCAAATTTTCAGTGCACAAACTATACAAATCCGGACGTTAAAGGATTTATTCTCGATATTAGTCACAAGTCAGGGGTGTGGTAAACTTTTATACATTACAAGTTTCTTCTGGTACAAAATTTAAAGTATCTTACCTCTTTCACCCAGACAATTTATATTTCAATATAACTAGATAAAAAGTTTTAAGAAAAATAATTGCGAACACATACGAGGGATGATCACATATTTCGTGGAATAAAATCAAAACCCCTTAAGGTACATCAATGTTTTTTACACATTAATGTAATATCATATTTCCTATTTGCGGAACAAACTATAAGGCATACATTTTTTGGAAAAAAATATTTGTCAGTGTTATCGTATGCAATAGTATGTCCAAGAGGCGAAACCTAAAAATACTGCGGATCTCAACCATGAATCTGGTGGCGACGAATCTTTTGATATGAGCCTTTGTTAAAAAAAACCCTCAAGATAATTCACTCGTGTGGTGTAATACAACTGTTCCCTAAAATTTACAAGTTTCATCTCATTTTGTCACTTGTATGAGGTCCTGTTAATTACAATGAGAGTGCTTATAATGACTTCGGAAAGGGGGTTACGTTTACCCGAAATTCATACTAATTTCCTTTTAGAGAAACTTGCATAGCTAGATTTTGGAATTATTTTAAAAGGCCGGAGAGAGGCAAAATACTGGAAAGTCCAAATAACCTGATTTAAATTAATAAAAAGATTCGTCGCCCGCGTGGCGCAGTGGTTAGAGCGTCTGCTCTAGAGTCACGGAGTAAGGAGTTGATCCATACGTCGCGGGTTCGAATCCCACTGTGGGACGTGGAGACCGGTCCTTCGGATGAGACCGTATAAACCGAGGTCTCCCGTGTCGCAGTAGATGCTGGCACGAATAAGATCCCTCACTGCTCAATGGCCGTAAGTGCCGAGTATAGGACAAAATTTGCAGCTCTCCACCGGCAAAGTGGTGGCGTCTCCATATGAGTGAAAAATTCTCCAGAGGGATGTTAAACAACATACAAACAAACAAACATAAAAAGTTTCCAAAAACGAAGACATATTGAATGCTTATTTGCTTTAGGGTGTCCTTAGCAAGTCATGTCGTATAGTACTGTTGCCTGCGTGCAGTAAAACGTAAATCACGCTGCCAAAGTCAAGCAAGGATTTTATCTTTTGTATAAAAAGATCAACTAAATAATAATGTGCTTTGAAATCAGCTTGTGTAAATTGTAGTCATACATTCAAGATGGGTTCAGTCAATATTAAATTTCAGGGTATCTCGTGAAGAAAAGTGTTGGAAAACAGATGCAGCAGACATTGAGAAGATATGAACGTCAAAACACTCAACGGCGGCAGTGCCGGGCGACCAATTCATTCTTTTGTATTTGAGAATAGATTGGTACATTATCAACGTATCAAGCTGAACTTTTATCATTGATATAATTTTATTGTTTTATGTTCATTATGAATTTTGTAAGTAACGCCAACAAAGTATAAAGGAAAAGATAGGCTAAGATCCCTTTTTGGCACCTGGTTTGGGGTGTATTTTAATAGAATCATGCAACAGTTTATCAATAAAAACCTGTTGTCGTCCCTGCCACAAAATGAGTATTGTTTCTAAGTTATGGGATACACAGAGGTCACAGGAAGGTCAGAAAATATGTCAATTTACGAATTTGCTCATTTTTATGCAAATTTTCATCGATTTTGCAGCATATTTTGGTTCAGAAAACATAGAGCACACGCTTGCCTATCTACCAAATTTATATATTTTATACACTAGTATCAGATGCATCTTATGTACAAAAATCTCAGATAGGCAAGCTTGTGCTCTATGTTTCCCGAAGTGAAAAGTATCTACAATTTGTCAAAAAAATTGACCAGAATTGAGGAAATTCGGGAAAATATCCTACTTCTGCAGCCTCTTGTGACCTTCATGTAAGCTTTGAATCAAAATTAATGCTGGCTTTAAAACAAGCATCATTTTAAGTGCTTAACTACAAACTATCACAATTTTAACTGTGTTCTGATTTTTACATCAAATAAGGGACAGATTCAGCCGTTACCAATCCTTGTCCTTTAAAGCTTGAAGTCCACGAACTATTTGATAACCCTTCGTATTTATCAAAATGGTTTTTTTTTTTTTGTTCAATACCTTTACCTTATTCAAAGTAATTCCAGAAAGAGTTGGTCGGTCCTTGTTGAGAAGTGAAATTAAACTGTAGTAGCGTTTGCCTTGTTCATTGTATACTGAATTTGAAGTGAGGACTTTTAAAAATATTAAATTGAGACTTACCTTTTTATGAGTAACCCTAAATTTTCTGATTTTATAGTTAGCATAGCTTTGCTCTTCCTCCGCCCGTAAAGAAATAACACCAATGGTAGTAGTCTGATAAAGATCTGGCCAGTACTTGACGCATTTTGCCTGTGTAATAAATATAGATTTATCTTATACTGAATTATTATAGACTTTTGATTCTCACACAATGTAAAAATAATACACAAATGTATTTGATTTGGAATTCTACTTTTTATTAAATGTTTTATTTAATCTTCTTTTGATATTCTGTAACAGGTTTTTGTAAGATTCAATTACCTTGTTCCCTTCTTTGAGATTGGTAAGCATTATTATTTGGTTGACACTCTCCTGCCAAATCATGTACCAGTAGTCTGTTACTGTGTTCTGACGAGGTCCTGTTAAAAGGATTTAAAACTAATTAATTCAATCTATTTGAAAAATTAATGTCAAACAAATTACATGTATTCGAATTTATTTTTTAATTATGTTTACAAAATTTAGTTATGACAAAATGGTAAGTAAAATTATAATAAAAATCAACAGAATTTTTTCATTAACATCGTATGATCAGAAGATCTACATTGTATTTATTTTAATTGTCGTCTTTTAGCTTTATAATGTGTTATAATTTTAATATGAATAGAGCATTGTACCTTGTGCTGCAATATACTCATTTGGCTTATCAATACCCTAAAAATAAAAAGGCAAAATATTTTCAGTAAAAACAAATCATGATATATTAGATCTAAGGATATATCCACTCTTCAAGTGTGACAAATATCAATTGATAAATAAGTAGTGTAACTGATAACATCTGCTGTTTGTGATCCGTTGTTAGTGGACAATATTAAAAAAACCGTGTATGTACATAAGTAAAAAATATTTTATCATATTGACAAAATAAAGATAGGTCGATGATTAGTTTACATGAGAATTTTATTATTTATGACTTTAATTTTCTTTAGAGCAAATTGTTCACTTATTGAATGAGTAGGCGCAACTTTACTTTCCTCAACTTTCCCTTTTTATAAAGCAATGCATGTATTCCACCTGCATTTATGTTTATGTATCTCAACTTATTCAATATTCATGAACATGTTCAGAGTATGATCATTTTTTTAAAACAAAAGCGGGCTACTGACAAATAAGTCGATGTTACTGGGTATCCATCTATCGCGTTTAAGGTCAGCTTTTCGTAAATTCTCTTTTTCAATCTAATAGTTTTGCAGATACAACCATCGTTGGGTAGTATTTGTCTAATGTTTCACACCAACTGACAGCCCATTGTTTTATACCATTTGGACTGCTGAGTACTCCGTCTACCTTGTTCAATGCACAGGGCTCAGGGCGGGTGTTCACGGTCCACAGTTAATTCTTCCTCCTCATAGGCACCTAATCCCACAACTGGGGTTTCCAGGGATCTATGTTTTAGCCCTGATAACTGGATTTATGAGATTGTTCTCTATTCCTTACCTTCACTTTTTTACATCATTTAAATTAAAGGTTCTCTTTTAAGCCTACTTACGTCAATATAATTGGCGTTGATGTAGTCCGACTGACCGTTGGTCAGTTTGATTCTAGAATGATCGTCTGAAAATATTCATTTTTCAATTAATATTAATTTTTACAGATAAAACATAATATTTAATGTTAATTTGATAATATGACACACCTTTAGTTTTGTGCATTTTTGCGACATTATCTCGAAACTGTAAACTTATTACATTAAGCAGTGTATTCTTTTTAGCGTCTTCTTACAGCTTCCGTTAAATTAATTACATCGCTAAATGTCTTAAGTACCTATATTTATTCAAGCACATTCAGAAATGCGCTAAATGAAACTTAAGCTAACTTGTTGAAAAATTAATTTCCCCCAAATATTGTAGTACATTTATAATAATGATAAAAATTACATTTCAGTGATAGTTTGGTAGACCTTGTCAACATTGAAGTTGTTTCAGAAAAATAAAGTTCGTAGATTAGATGTGAATTGTAGTAATCTGATAACTTCCCCCCCCCCACCCCCCCCCCACCCCCAAATTTATTCTCATCTAACATTGATGTAAGTGGAGCATTAACGTACATGGAAATGTTGTCTTGAATCTGTTTTTCGGTACGTTTTCTGGTTGTTTTCCAGCGTTGCAAGGGTACTTCTCACCATATGGCATGGTCTATTGTTAAAGTAGAGATACGTTAATGAAAATAAAATGATCCTTCTGGATTATGGATTAGTTGTGAGAATTGCCTTACCGCGTACTCCCTTTTGAAGCCATCATCTTCATTTTGTCGTTTCTCCTTAATGGTATGTTCGAGATGTTCTACATTTATATCTGGGATTGTTTCTTCATTTATATAGAAGTCTCCGTATGGATTTTCTTCATGTAATTTTTCATCGTTGTCAATATCCTCGTCTCGCTCATTAGTTCCTGTTTTCAGTTCTTGACCTTCATTCTTGGAATTTTTGGTAGCAGTCTTCTTCTCTTTGAATTGTGAAGTCCCTTTCATGTTTTCATAAATATCTGTGAAACCCATCTTTCCTTCTTTTGGAGTGGCTTCAAAGTTTTAAATATATATACTGCATTTATTCCTATTTATGAAGGGTTATCTAAATGTTCGAGGATAAATGCAATACGATTAATATCATGTAGAATGTGCTTACAAAATTTCTAAGGAACACAAAACAACAAAGTTTAAAAAGAGTTGGATATTGTAGCTTGACATGTTGCTAACTTTTCGATTTTTTTCATTAAATACAAAAAACATTATACGATCACCCGGCGCCGTCGCCATTGAGTTTTATGACGTTCGACGCGATTGCTTCTCAAAGTCCACCCCCCCCCCCCCCCCCTCTGTCTCAATAAACTTTTCTTGACGAGATAACCTGGTATTAAATACTGACCATATCCCATCTTGTTCACATGAATTCAGAACTTCACCAAAACCTGATTTCAAAACAAAGATTGTGAATAGATCTCTACAAAAGATAAAGATCCTCACTTGATTCCGGCAGCTAAATTCGCTAGACGGTGTTCAATTTCTACTGCACGCTATCAAGGTTCCTTTTCGCCTTTACTGACTTTGGACACCCGGGCTGCGAATCGACATTAAATGCATGTCTTTTCTCTCTCTAAATCTTTTGTGGCATTCACAATAGAAGACCTGATTTTTTTCTCCTTGATCTATTTAAACATTTCCAAAGTCAATGCGAGATTTTCCAAAGTGAAACAATAAACTTCGGCAAAATGACAAACATGCCCTACCCCTTCCAGCGTTTTCTTTAACCACTATTTTTTTTTTAGCATTCTCTTTTGCATTGGCTATAAGAACTCACAGAACTCACACAAAGGGATAAAAACTAAATTTTTCACAGAACATGTGTGGCTTATAGCACGAGTGAAGACAGGTCAAGATAGGTTAGTGGTAGAGCGTTCGCTTTGTGATCCGGAGGCCCGAATTTATTTTCGTTCGGTTCGCCGAGCCGCGTCAACCCTATGACATACACATAGGTATTGACTAATCCTTCGCCAAACGCCAGGAATTGGAATTGAATGTCACAGGTCTTTCGGATGAGACCAAAAGAAACCGAGGTCCCGTGTCACGTTAGACGTTGGCACGATTTATTCCTCACTGCTCAATGGCCCTGAGTGGCGAGTAAAGTTCTAAATTTGAAGCCTTTCATGGCATACGTTGACGTCTGCATATGAGTGAAAAACTCTCCACTGGGACGTTAAAAAAATACAGTCAATTAATCACACGAGCACATTTTGAAATGCGACTAAATGAACCTTAAAAAAGTGACGACAAATGATTTTTCTCTCTTAGACTAATCGTATAGAAATAACCGTACGTCTGACAGATTATTTTCTAGACACAATAGATGATGTTGAATAAATGTGTAAAAATTCACTGATATACCTTACACGGTTTTAATTGTATGGCGCCAGTCCACAAACGTTTTGATAAACCTTCGTAGCTACATTGTTGACATTGCAAAAAATTATTTAATTTAAAATGTTCATAAAAGTATTTTTATAAATTTGAATGTTGTAATATTTCGCGCTATTTGATCAAAGAACGGGCAAAAAGGTCTTTCACTGATTTCCGTTAAATAAAAAAATCCAACAAATGTTATATACTCACTACTTATACTAGATGTGTTTATTTCTGTACTGCTCTTTATTTTCTCTTTATCACTGGCTTTCGATGCCCGTGACCTTCAAAAAACATAGAATTCATAATTTAGCTCTTGTAGTGTTGCTTACATTCCTGAAATAAAGTTGGATTAACTGATTTATTCACTGCTATAAGGTGCACTTTGAGAAAAGTATGATGAAATACGTGCTAGTAGATATAACTAGTTATCAAATAAAATAACAAGGAAAAACTGCGATGTCATAAGGAATAAAGAACATTTGAAGAAAATGAACAGTGATTAATCTCATAAATCCAGGAAAGAAGCGAATCAAGACCTGTGGAGGTGGGATCATGTGACTAGAACTAGTAAGCACAACCTTATATTTCAGCAACTATACATGATATCATATCGTACTTTGCTAACAAAGAATGCGTTTCCCAATCCAAGTTGCAGCTGTATTAGATCTTTTTGAAAAAAGGAAAAAGAAAGAAAAAAATGCCATCTGCTATGCACCATCTTGACTGCATGTAACGGATTGTTTCGTTTTGTTTACAACAAAGCGTGAGTGTTAAATGTTTTGTACACTAATACATTCAAAATGTTTCGCTTGATCAAAATTAAATATCAAAATAGAGTTCGTGACAAAATAATCAAAAATTCTTCGTTGCAAGTGGCACATTATTACATGTAGCATATTTAAATAAAACCTGGGTTGGGTTGTTTGTCTTGAAAAAAATGGCATAACACAAGAGCAGGTTATATGGTATATTAATCAAAATATTACTTGGACAAAGTTAAAATTATATTATTACTGCTACTCAAAACCAGAAGTAGTCGACCGCGTGGCGCAGTGGTTAGAGTGTCTGCTCTAGAGTCCCGAAGTAAGGAGTTAATCCTTACGTCGCGGGTTCGAATCCCACTGTGGGACGTGGAGACCGGTCCTTCGGATGAGACCGTATAAACCAAGGTCCCGTGTCGCAGAAGGTGCTGGCACGAAAAAGATCCCTCACTGCTCAATGGCCGTAATTAAGTGCCAGTATAGGACAAAATTTGCAGCTCTCCACCGGCAAGTGGTGGCGTCTCCATATGGGTGAAAAATTCTTGAGAGATACGTTAAACAAAATACAATCAATCAAAACCAGAAGTCTCTGACAAGACTGTAGCTTTTCTGGTTGTAAATATAAAGGAAGATAAAAGTAGCAAACAAACTAAAACTGTAGAAGAAGTAGCCTTTTAAAACAATTTTACAGAAATTTGATTTAAGTAACCACGGCAGCATCATTCAACAAAATCAAAAAAACAATAACGACAATTATGTAACAGTGTAGTCTACTTGTATGCCAAGTTATACTGCAATGAGACAAAAAGTGTAGAAGGAGTAGCGTTTTGAAAGTATTTCAAGAAAATTTCACCGTTCACGGTAGCTCAGTCGGTAGAGCGCTCGCTCCGTGATCGGGAGGTCGTGAGTTCGAATCTCGGCCGCGACTGACCTAAGTCGATAAAAAATGGGTAGCAACTGTTCCTTCGCCATGCGCTCGGCACTTTGAAGTGAAAGTTGCGGGTCCTTCGGATGAGACCTTAAAAACCGAGGCCCCGTGTCACGGCAGGCGTTGGCACGATAAAGATCCCTCACTGCTCAATGGCCCTGAGTGCCGAGTAAAGGTCAAAATTTGAAGCCCTTCACCGGTATAAGGTGACGTCTCTATATGAGTGAAAAATTCTCCAATGGGACGTAAAACAACATACAATCAACATACAATCAAGAAAATTTCTATTTTTAGTAACCATGACAACACTGTTCATCGAAATCCGAAACTGGTACAGAGAATTATGTATCTTAGTGTAGTTTACTTGTGTGCTAAGTAATACTAAAATCTGACCAAAACTGTAGCAGGAGTAGCATTTCGAAAGTATTTAAAGGAAATTTACATTTTTAGTAATGATGGTAACACAGGTCATTGAAATCAAAAACCGATATTTAGATTTATGTATCTTAGTGTAGTCTACTTGTGTGCCATGTTATATTGAAATCAGATCAAAACTGTAGGAGAAGTAGCGTTTTGAAAGTTTTTCACAGAAATCTCTATTTTTAGTAACCATGACAACACCGTTTTTGAAATCAAATACCGATATACAGAATTATGTATCTTAATGTGGTCTAGTGTAGTCAAGTTATATTGAAATCAGACCAAAACTGTAGAAGGAGTAGCGTTTTGAAAGTATTTCCCAGAAATCTCTATTTTTTAGTAACCATGGCAACACTGTTCATTGAAATAAAAAAAAACGATACACAGAATTATGTATCTTAGTTTAGCCTACTTTTGTGCCAAGTTATATTGAAATCAGACCAAAACTGTAGGATGAGTAGCGTTTTGAATAATTGTTTACAGACAGCTAGACGGACGGACGACGAACACCTTACTATCGCATAAACTCTTCTGATCTCTGACCAGTTTAGCTAACAAGATGCTCAATAGCAAAATTCAGTAAAGATTATTAACCAGAAGTCTCTGATGAGACTGTAGCTCTACTGGTCTGTTTGTATAACAAAAGAAAAGTAGCACTTGGATTTGAAACATTGCAACATGCAACAATAAATAGAATTATGTATCTTAATGTAGTCTACTTTTGTGACAAGTTATATTGAAATCAAATGAAAACTAGGAGTAGTAGCGTTTTGAAAGTATTTCATGGAAATTTCTATTTTTAGTAACCATGACAACACCATTCACCCAAATAAAAAAAAACAGAAATACATATTATGTATCGTAGTGTATTCTAACTGTGTGCCAAATTAGATTGAAATCAGACCAAAATTGTAGGAGGAGTAACGTTTTAAAGGAATTTCAAAGAAATTTCTATTTTTAGTAACCATGGCAACACCGTCCATCGAAATCAAAAACCGATGCACTAAATTATGTACATTAGTGTAGTCTACTTGTGTGCCAAGTTATATTGAAATCGGACCAAAACTGTAGGAGGAGTAGCGTTTTAAAGGAATTTCACAGAAATTTCTATTTTTAGTAACCATGGCAACACCGTCCATCGAAATCAAAACCGATGCACTAAATTATGTATCTTAGTGTAGTCTACTTGTGTGCCAAGTTATATTGAAATCGGACCAAAACTGTAGGAGGAGTAACGTTTTAAAGGAATTTCACAGAAATTTCTATTTTTAGTAACCATGGCAACACCGTCCATCGAAATCAAAAACCGATGCACTAAATTATGTATCTTAGTGTAGTCTACTTGTGTGCCAAGTTATATTGAAATCGGACCAACCCTATAGGAGGAGTAGTGTTTTAAAGGAATTTCACAGAAATTTCTATTTTTAGTAACCATGGCAACACCGTCCATCGAAATCAAAAACCGATGCACTAAATTATGTATCTTAGTGTAGTCTACTTGTGTGCCAAGTTATATTGAAATCGGACCAAAACTGTAGGAGGAGTAGCGTTTTAAAGGAATTTCACAGAAATTTCTATTTTTAGTAACCAAGGCAACACCGTCAATCGAAATCAAAAACCGATGCACTAAATTATGTATCTTAGTGTAGTCTACTTGTGTGCCAAGTTATATTGAAATCAGACCAAAACTGTAGGAGGAGTAGTGTTTTAAAGGAATTTCACAGAAATTTCTATTTTTAGTAACCATGGCAACACCGTCCATCGAAATCAAAAACCGATGCACTAAATTATGTATCTTAGTGTAGTCTACTTGTGTGCCAAGTTATATTGAAATCGGACCAAAACTGTAGGAGGAGTAGCGTTTTAAAGGAATTTCACAGAAATTTCTATTTTTAGTAACCATGGCAACACCGTCCATCGAAATCAAAAACCGATGCACTAAATTATGTATCTTAGTGTAGTCTACTTGTGTGCCAAGTTATATTGAAATCAGACCAAAACTGTAGGAGGAGTAGCGTTTTAAAGGAATTTCACAGAAATTTCAATTTTTAGTAACCATGGCAACACCGTCCATCGAAATCAAAAACCGATGCACTAAATTATGTATCTTAGTGTAGTCTACTTGTGTGCCAAGTTATATTGAAATCAGACCAAAACTGTAGGAGGAGTAGCGTTTTGAAAAATTGTTTACAGACAGACGGACAGACAGACAGACAGACAGACAGACAGACGGACGGACGACGGACACCTTACTATCGCATAAGCTCTTCTGGTCTCTGACCAGTAGAGCTAAAAAAGTATGTGAAAGGATGAAGATTTGCAGACGATCTGAAAATGAAAGCCGCTTAAGCGTCATAACTCTTGCCGTACGCGCTGGAAAAAAAACTAAAGTTATGTTTTTATTCAGATTTTAAGAAGTACTTTATAGAACTGTACAAAATTTAGAGGCAAAATTCAAAATAGATAGGGGAATTAGAATGTACAATTTTGTTGGTATCATTCCATTATTTAAGATTTTGTATCATTTATGGCAAAACTTTTGGATCAAGCTCTGTTTATATGAAATGTGTGCTGGTGTCATTTCTTTATGATTTTAAAACTTCTTTGTGTTTGCATTTTTATTAAAAAGAAAGTTGACAGCTGTCTACAAAACTTTCTAAATTAAAAAGAAAAATAAAGATTTCCTTTTGCTCTCATACTTCAAATTTTCAACAGTTGACAAGTAATTTTTTTGTACTATTTTTGTAATGAAGAATTTTTTTAATGAAGGTTTTGACTAATCAACTAACCGCCTCTGGAAGATGACAAAAAGTACGACAATAACGAGTACAACAACAATGGCCGCGATCGCTCCAACAGCTATCGAAAGTGTATTGTCTTGATTTTGTAATGACTGACTGCAGAAGGATCCAACAAAGCCATCAGCACATCCTCCTGCTAAGCATGTCCCGTTCATATGGTGACACGGGCTCCCATTACGACAGTTTCCACAGCGTTTGGTGCAGTTTTCACCATACTTTCCATTGTCACATTCTTTAAAAAAAAAATCAATGAAAATTAGAATTATTTAAATGTCTTTAAAGTTGAATTTAGTCTTTGGAAACCGGGCCTCGGATCCACCAAGAGTTGTGACACAATTAACATTTGCATTAATGTTTATTACATGTAATAAGTTTATATGTGCATTATCTATTATATATTTTATATGCATTATCTATTTATTTTTAATTAAAGTCTCTATAGTTTAAATCTTTGATAATAATGTCTCAGGGCATATTCATCCCTGTGTTTGTCTTAATAACGAGTGCACTTAAATATAATACTTTTTTATTAATTCGGATCATGAAATTGACTCATAATAACGAAGTCAAAGCGATCCAAAAAAAAGACCTGATTATCGGATGGACTTATTGGTTCATTTATGCACCTCGAGGGATACACTTCTATTCCTGGCCTTGAGGCTATCATCATAAGCCAATAGGTGGCCGGAGGATTATTATTAACTTATCCTCCTTTCACTGACAAATGTAACTTTGATCTAGAACAACCGAAAGGTTGTCAAATGGGACTAATAAAATGTAAACTATGAGAAGCAGTTTGCTTGAACACGTATGCCTTAGAAACAGAAACGAGTATAAAAAGTACAATCCGGAAGAGAAGAGTATACTCAAATTGAGACCAGATGAGAGAGAGAGATGAGAACTCTGGTGTTTCAGGGCTCTCACACCACTTTTGGGGCCTGGGCCGTTCAAATTGGGAAAATTTTTGTCATTTGGGGGAAAACTGTGAAATCTGGCTCCTTGTCAAAGCCGAACCACTTTACGAATATATGTGGCATGCACTAATTTATACAATCCAACGCAGAACTACAGTAGTTTGTTTCACTTTTCAGCCATTAAGTTTAATCAATTCAGATTTTTTTTCAAAAATATTTTGCTATAAAAAATATGGAAATTTACACTTGGCTTTTGGGAAAAAAGGTATCTTTTTTGCATTGGGAATGGGGCCGTTCAACGGCCCAAATTATAAAGAATAGAGAGCCCTGTGTTTCTTTCCTCCCCTGAACTCGTTTACGAACATCCGAAACTGGATAAGTGACTAATTTTTCGGACTATTTTGGAATTATGAATATGATATAAACAAATCTATCCGATCACTTCATTTCATTGTGAACTTTAATTACTGCGTTGAATTGTGACTTTATGTAACTTAATAAAATCTCTTAATTTTCATTCTCTTGCCCGGATTCTATCCCTGCTCTGTTACAACGATAAGATTTTTCTTCAAATCTGAGATGTCTTTAAAATTTTTAGTTTATTCTCATGGCTGTGCCACCAAACAAATATTTTCTCGAATCAAGACTTATCCTGAGGGTTGTATCAAATTTGTACCACCACCACTTTTTCAGACTCAGCTGAGAAAAGAAATATCAGATTTTTCAAATTTTTTGATATCAGTGCACAGTTACTTCAATTAAATTTTAAAGTAAAATGGTCGTATGTTTTATGACAGTACACACGTTAGTCCTTGAATACAAGAAATAAACGTGTGGGTATAGGAAGCATTGGAAAAAATAGGATATCTTATTGATAAAATTAAATATTATATGTAAATCAAAGTTTGACTTTCTTCTTCCTTCTTATTTCTTATAGATGTATATATTCAATTATACTGTATATATTTTACATGAAAAGTATTTTTAAAAAAAAATTATGACAATTTTCAATTAATTACCAATATACTCGTATGTTGATATTTCTTAACATTCTTAAGACTTAGAAACGTCCACCTCTTACCTCTAATACAAAGCAACCCCTCGTATCCAATCGCACATCCTCCTAAGCAAGTACCGCTAATATAGTCACATTGCTCGTCATCTATACAGTGCCCACATCTTACATCACAGTTAGCACCATACATTCTACCATCACATTCTTGAAAATAGAAACAAAATACAAGTACGTCATTAAAAGACAAGGTATGATATTGAAATACAAACTCTGAAGAATATGCACTTTTCATTGGGTTTGACTGTAATTTGTTATTTATAAAATTTTCATCGCTCACTGATCGAGTTGCAATGCCCTGTTCACATATTTGTATTGTTTGTCTTTTTTTTTTTTTTTTTTTTTTTTTTTGGATCGACCACTGTTTCTTATATTCACCAATTTCATTTCTATTACTTTACTATTTCTTAAATTGCTATTGAAATTGAAAATATTGATAATAAATGTTGAAAAATAATTTTTGAAGAAAATTCGTCAAATCATGCATTATACAAAAACATTGGTAGACAACTATTTTCATTATCAAAATCATGAAAATACCCAAGAAAAACTTTAGGGAAACAATGATCCTTATTTTATGAAAGAATACATGATACTGGTGTATTTTCATACTGGTAAATTCTTCTGCATTGTTTCCTAACTAGTTGACGATAACAATTACTCACCATCTGTACAGAGAGGTCGCTTATACCCTATAGAACACCCGTTTAGACATGTTCCGTTGATATGATGACAATGAGAGCCATTCAAACAGTGTCCACAGGTTTGGTTGCACTTATAACCATACAGACCACCTTCACATTCTTAAAAAGAATTAAAATATTTCAAAGTGTAAACTGAGAATCATACTGGTATGGTAGTTAAAAAACTTAAATGATAACAAAATAGTATCAAAATGAGGATTCGGCAAAATATATTATTAAAAACAGTTTGAAATGTACAACAATTCACTGTTTTCATTGTAAGTCATGCAAAATATGATTAACTCAAATAATAAATTTTATGATTTTCCAGAGAGGAAAACAAGATTGATTGTATGTTGTTTAACGTCCCTCTCGAGCATTTTTCACTCATATGGAGACGCCACCATTTGCCGGTGGAGAGCTGCAAATTTTGTCCTATACTCGGCACTTAACGGCCATTGAGCAGTGAGGGACCTTTTTCGTGCCAGCACCTACTGCGACACGGGACCTCGGTTTATACGGTCTCATCCGAAGGACCGGTCTCCACGTCCCACAGTGGGATTCGAACCCGCGACGTAAGGATCAACTCCTTACTTAGCGACTCTAGAGCAGACGCTCTAACCACTGCGCCACGCGGGCGACTAAGGTCCACAAGAGATTTCAACTCACAAAATTTATGTATTCTGAGAAGTATATATGTATAATGTGACTTTGTTGTGGTTCCTTGAGGGTTATAGAATATTGAATATTTTGAATTTGAATCTAGATTGTGTGTCTGTACTGTTTAATTGAACTTGGATTTTAAATTATTAAAGTGCAAATCAACTTCCCGATATTGTGATATTAGTAAAAAAAAAAAACATGGCATTAATGTAAGGTCTGTGATTTTATATCGGAGCCAAAGTAAAAGTAAACGTGGTGAACGCTGCTTCTAACTTAGTTAAACGGACCACGTTTAATATTTGTAATCATTGATTTACTGGTCATAAATGTTTCCATGTCTAATGTTTCTTGGTACTTTTGCGTATTTGTTTAAAATAAATTTTCAGCAGCTTCACATTTCTGATATAGATTCAGAAGTTGCAACAGCCTTTCCTTCTGTTCTCACTAGAATGTTTTAAGATGAATACAGATAGTAATCTGATAATTCAGAACAACACTGTTAAAAAAACAAAAAAGACAACGTATATCGCGAGTCAGGTTTCCTTTTCTCGACCAATGGTTTTTCAACCGCGTTTTGTTCTTTTTCAGGTCTTTGACTGACTTATTACGCTGTACGTTTGTAATAGTTCTTACCTTCAGTACAAAGCACCCCTTTATATCCAGCTGAACATCCTTGTAAGCAAGTGCCGTTAATATGAAGACACTGTGCATCATCAAAACAATGACCACAGGTTTCATTGCAGTCATAACCATACATTCCACTGCTACACTCTTAGATACAAAGAATAAATATATATATATTTTTTTTAAATAATCAAACGTTTTGTTGATGTGGAGATTATTATTGTTATTGTAGACAGTGTTCTTAGCTTTTATTGGTTCTTCAACAACAACATTTGTATATAAAATATTTATGCCTTCAGCGTTATTTTTCACAATAACATGAAAAGAATAGATGAGTTTATTTACCTTTACAAAAAACAATGTTACAATTGCAATTTTATTTCAATATGGACAGAAAGCATATCTTTTGTTATGCTTGCTTAGGCGTTGAATTGCTAATTAAAGATGACAAACAATCACTTACTAGTCTTACAAAGATATCCTTTATATCCAGGGGAACACCCTTCGAGGCATGTACCATTGATATGGTGACATTCAGTGTCATTGATACAGTTCCCACAGCTTTGATTGCATTTTAATCCATACCTTCCACTGTCACATTCTTCCCAAAAATATCAGAAATATGTAAGTTAAAGTAGTACGTTATTCTAGAAGCCTTTTTTTTTTTATTTTTGTGTCTTTGTTTGCTAGCATGTAATTTAGAAAACAATTATGAAAAAAAATATCAGATTATAATTATTTTATCTTCAATATCATGGACTGTAGAATATGCATGTACATTGTACAGCTGTTGCTTAACGTACGCACGTTATATAAGCATATTGCAGAGTTTTTAATAAAGCCATTTTGCTCCTACATTTATGATATTTCTTACTTTCTTTACATTGAGATCCTTTGTATCCCGGAGAACATCCGTCTAAACAAGAACCGTTGATATGATGACAGTGTGTATTATTCAAACAATGACCACATTCCTCACCACAGGATGCTCCGTACATTCCCCCTTCACATTCTTAAATACAGTTGTGAATTTTGATATATTTGAGAAATGAGTACTTCTTAAAAGTATTTTGGTTAGATATTCTTTTCATAAATGGAAAAAAATATATTGTTTAATTTCGACAAAAAACCATAGAATATATCTATTATATTTAACACTCATTTCGCATGAAAACATTTCATTAGTAACGGATCAGGTCGGCCTTTACTTGTACACTTACTGTTGATACAGAGGGATCCCTTATATCCAGGGGAACATCCTCCTAAACATGATCCATTGATGTGGTGACAATGGGCACCATTAAGACAGTGTCCACAGGTTTTATTGCATCTCAAGCCAAACTTCCCACCGTCGCATTCTTTAAAATAATTGTTTTCTTTCAGTCATTTTCAGTTAAAATTATTCTTATTGCTAGGCATCTTTTTTTGTTTTGTTTTATTCGCTTAATTCCTTGCTCTATGGTATATAAAAACCAAACTAGAAATGCAAATACTCCAAACAATTGTAGACGCTTACAGTTTAATTGGCATTTAATTGCTTTACAAACACGTTTTTACATCTAGGTTATAATCTACATAAGCATTCATATAAGCATGAAATAGAGGTTTTATAAATTTTGTTTTTAAAATTCGTGATGATTTGTACGTTTTTGACAAAGAGATCCTTCGTATCCTGCAGAGCAACCTCCTGAACATGAACCGTTGATGTGATGACACTGTGTATTACCAAGGCAATGACCACATTTTTGACTGCAGGCAGTTCCATACATTCTACCGTCACATTCTTGAAAGTAAATACAACTATTTGCTTAATGAATTATCCTGTCCATATAAAAAAAAAAACCCATAAGATTCACATTCAAATAACACTCTTTGAATTTTTATGCCCCCGGATCGAAAGATCCCGGGGGTATATTGTTTTTGTCCTGTCTGTCTGTTTGTCTGTTTATCTGTTTGTCTGTCTGTCTGTTGACAACTTTAACCTTGCCCATAACTTTTGATTGGTTGGAGCTATGATTTTCATATTTCACATGTGTATTCCTTGTGACAAAACCTTTCTTTGGGTACCATCATATTTGACCTTTTGACCTTGGAGTTTGACCCACTTTTGCAACATTTTATGAGACTTTAACCTTCGCCATATCTTCTGAACAGTTAGTGCTTGGAGTTTCAAACTTCACATGTGTATTCTTTGTGATAAGGCCTTCCTTTGGATACCAACAACTTTGACCTTTTGACCTTGACCTTGGAGTTTGACCTACTTTTGAAAAACTCTAACCTTGGTCATTACTTTTGAACGGTTAGAGCTAGTGCTTTCATACTTCACATATGTATTCCTTGTGACAAGGCCTTCCTTTGGATACCAACCACTTTGACCTTGACCTAGGAGTTTGACCTACTTTTGAAAAACTTTAACCTTGGCCACAACTTTTGAATGGTTGGTGCTAGGGCTTTCATACTTCACATATGTATTCCTTGTGACAAGACCTTCCTTTGGATACCAACCACTTTGACCCTCTGACCTTCACATAGGAGTTTGACCTACATTCGAAAAACTTTAACCTTGGCCATTATTTTAAATGTTTGGTGCTAGAGCTTTCATACTTTACATATGTAATCCTTGTGACAAGACCTTCCTATGGATACCAACAACTTTGACCTTGACCTTGATGTTTTACTTACTTTTAAAAAATTTTAACCTTCGCCATAACTTTTGAACAGTTGCAGCTAGGGCTTTCGAATTTAACATTTTTTTTATCTTTTGGCCTGGATTTCGACTTGCATTTGAGAAACTTTAACCTTCGCCATAAGCTGCCATACGGGGGCATCAGTGTATCACAAACACATCTTGTTTAATACATGTATGATACAACAAATACGAAAATAACTATTTTAAAACCAAAAAGGTCACGGTCATGTCAAACATGTAAGAATCAAAAACGATTTCAAGTAGTACACATGTGAAAAATGAAAGTCGTTGCACCAGCCGTTCAAAAATAATGGCCAAGGTTGTAGTTTTTGAAAAGTAGGTCAACGTCCAAAGTCAATGTGATGAGGTCAAAATCGTTAGTATCTGCAGAAATGACTTTTCAATTTTCTCAAAGAATACGCGTGAAATATAAAAGCCCTAGCACCAACCATTCAAAAACTAAGATGGAAGGTAAAGTTTTTGCGGATTAACAAACAGACATACCAAAAACCGTATGCCCCAGAATATTTGATTTCAGAGGCATAAAAAGATTATATATAAAATATAACGCTAGACAATATTCATAAAATAAAATGCAAATTCAAAGAATTGTGGCTTAACTCTTTCGGTGTCTTAGTGGTTGGGATGCAGATATTTATGGCATATTGTAACTGTCTTGTTTGTGAGTCCTGCAAACTTCTAGGTCATGGTCATGAAGTCAAAAATGATATGCCTTTCTGAAAGGTGTTGGCATATGTAATGACCATTTAAATATGAAAGCCCTATCTACTCTCATTCAGAGGTTATTACCAATGTACAAAAATGAAAAAAAAAAGACTGAAGGTTAAACGTTAAGGTCAAGATCACGACGTCAGAAACAAGAGAAAAGTCTTGAAACAGGTAATGCTCGTGTCGATATAAATGCCCTATCTATATTAAAAAAGTATAAGCAATAATAAAATTGTTTGTTGTTAGGTCAAATTTCAAATTAAAGCTCATGGGATTAAAAATCATAGTACATTTGGAAACCTCTTGCCAAAGGTTATGCACTAGTCAAATATTAAAACACTCTTAAGTCAAACTTCAAGGTAGAAATGTCGCCCGCGTGGCGCAGTGGTTAGAGCGTCTGCTCTAGAGTCGCGAAGTAAGGAGTTGATCCTTACGTCGCGGGTTCGAATCCCACTGTGGGACGTGGAGACCGGTCCTTCGGATGAGACCGTATAAACCGAGGTCCCGTGTCGCAGTAGGTGCTGGCACGAATAAGATCCCTCACTGCTCAATGGCCGTAAGTGCCGAGTATAGGACAAAATTTGCAGCTCTCCACCGGCAAGTGGTGCGTCTCCATATGAGTGAAAAATTCTCCAGAGGGACATTAAACAACATACAATCAATCAATCAGGGTAGAAATCAAGGGGTCAAAAATCATAATATATTTAGAAAGGTCTTGTCACAGAAGATATACATGTGAAACATAAAAAAGCCTCATCTTTTCTCATTTAAAAGTTATGACCAAGGTTATTTTTTTGTGACAGACAGACGGACATACGAATATGATTTAAGTTCAGACGATACGTTCTCCAATAATATATAATTTTCCCCAAGAATTTGTATTTGACACATTGCAACTTTAACAAGTTTCCTAAAAATAAAAATTGAGATTAATTACCGGTCATTGTGCTTGATACCACAGGATCATATTTCCTATATTATCCTATTGGGTTTTACTTGAATTGCCGTTATCACAGTTTTGGTTTTTATATCTTTTAAAGATATTTTAAAATAGTTTAGAAATCACAAGATAATAAGAATTATAAATGTATATGGTACTTTGCAAAGAGATACAAAATTAGGTATTCGAGAAACGTCTCGTCTGACCTTAATGTCATCTCGCTTTCGCAAAAGCAATAATCCATGAGAGTTTTATTTTGTAAAGATTTGATAATATGTGGCATATTATATCATTCGATTAACATGAAATCAATCAATTTCTTGTTTGCATAGAGATTATGAATAAGTACTTTCCATTTTGCGCATTTACAATATGAGTAATTTAGGTATCTACTATTACATACTCTGATTACAGCGAGATCCTTTATATCCAGGTTTACATTCAAAACAGTTTCCTGTAGAGATATTACACCTCTGATCATAACAGTTTTCTGGACATGGTTGATCACAATACTTTCCGTAATACTTAGAGTCAGGGCATCCTGTTCAAATACAATGAAAATATTGTTTTCATACAAAAAATGTCTACAGTATACAGAACTCTAATACAGCTATATTAAATACAGAAAAAAGTACAATCTTGGATGTAATTTTAAACTCACCATACACCTCAAATTCGCACAATTCATTATATGCATAAGTAGAGTAGTAACTGGGATACTGCAAATCTTGTCTCCGCTCGTTGTAATATATAACATATTGCCCATCAAATGGACAGTTAATCGTCTGGTTCTCTGTTGGTGTACCGTTTACTTGTTGCAATTCATGAAAACAAAGATGGCCATTGTCTTTATTTGTATTGTTCGAAATGTAAACGTAAAATCCAGCAAATCGATGGTAGTATGCACCAGGGCCTAAACAAATCAAAATATTTTTATCAATGCTACTCGTTGATATTTTGATTTCCTTAATAGAGATCTTTCTGTAACATGGGGAAAAATACTGAATTGTTGACGTTTTGTCCATGCATAATGATCCAAAATTTTATAATTGATTGATTGTATGCTGATGAAAGTCCCTTTAGCTCATGTAGAGACGTCACCTGCTTAAGATGAATTGCCAAAGAACTAAGTACGTTACCTATTATACAGAGGCCCACAATTTTCTGTAATTTAATATACAGGTTTACCAAAATATAATAACTATCTAAATGTACTAGAAGATTGGTAGTTTTAAAGTATGCAAAGAAAATTTCCACACTCCGTTATTTAGGCCTGTTCACCACGTTTAAAGATTCGTTTTTTTCCCCCCGGAAATTGCTATTTTTTCAATATTTTCACTAGATATTCCTAAAATTGAAGTAGTGCCCATCCCTCGAGCAAAATAAAACATGCATATTTCAAAATATATTGATGAAAGGCAGATGAAAACTGAGTAAGAATTTGCTCGAGGAATGGGCTGTATGTTTAATTTGACCTTACATGACTATTTTCGGTGGCGGATATCAAGTTCATTGAGAGGTGTAACTTTACTTAGATGAAATTATGACTCCGTAACTCATTTAAAATGTTCATAAATAAATATATCATAGACCATATTATTATTTTCCATATGAGTCTATTTGTCATGAAAAATAGCATATTAACTGACTGGGAAATATGGAAGGTTGATAACGCTGATGACGATGGTTGCATACCCTACATGCATCTGACAAATATGATATCGAGAGGAATAAATTAAGACCCAACGAATATACTTGATTAACAAAAACATGTTAAAATGACAAATCAAATTAGTAATATTATTATCACAAAAAAGAAAATGTGCATGTAGATTATCCCAGAATTAATTTCATTTTCCAACTGAAAGAGTTTATAGCTACCGTCAGTAGATGTGAATAAATTACGTTATAAGCTACAAGATTATGTCACAATAGATCCTATTGATTTTTTTTTAATTTTTAGATTCCCATTTCCCAATATTTTTTTTTTAAAGCCATTTGCAAGGTCTGTTTAAATTTATCAATATTCTGAGGTCATATGGTTGCATTTTCATAAAAAAACAACGTACATATATAAGGCACAAACGTTGATGGTTCTATTAAAAAGTGCTTTAGTTTTAAAAGCATACGTTTTTAATGCTGATTTTTAATTTCACGCTATACATTTGTTGTGTATTGCGCCTCTAAGCTTTTAAATGCATCAGTCTATATTGTACATGTTGTAAGAGATGCTGTTAATATTCCATAATGCATTAACGAAAAAAGGCCTATATTTCAAATGGTACACTTCATTGCAATTAAAATTGCTATATATATATACTAAGTGCATTATCATTTCTTATCTGTCAGAGATCCAAAGATGTCAAAACACGACGGGGTGGGGAAGCGAGAAAACGATTCAAAAGGAAATTCAGGCACAGAACGTTGAAAAAAAAAGTTTCGGATGAGGATGTTCGTTGAAGCAAATTATGTGATTTAGTAGTTGAAAAACGGGAGGGGGCATTATATTTACATTGCACGGCAAAAAAAAAAAAAATCGACAGCGGCTAAGCGAACCAAAACCACTCCTATATTACTGCCACTCCTGGTCGATCTCAAATTTCATCAAATGTTTTAAGTCTTGGGAAAAGAGCTGTAACAGATTTAAGTCACCTTTTCCTTTTATTTTTAAAACGTTTAATAAACTTTATACTCATTGATCCGTGTCCATTATAGAAAGTGTTCATTTTCATCTTGTTTTCAAGTTTACCTTACAATAACGAAAAAAAAACTCCGATCAAATAAGCTTAGCTGATTTACTAGTAGATGCAAGGTTAACATAGGACATGCATATTCGGTTTATTCCTGAAAATCTGTGCTTTATCATGAGCTGAAATAAATATATATCAGGTCCATGAGAAGCAATTTCAGTTTTTTTTCTTTTTTTTTGGGGGGGGGGGGGCACAAGTATACATTTTCAGTATGCGGTGGGGGATGGCACTATCATCTACCAAAAATTCCTTGACAAACAACAAAAAAAAGTTCATCAGACGTATTTTTTTTGAGGGAGCACAAGCATATGGTAGCTATTTTTCTGTAGCATTCTATATATCAGCAAAATTATTGGGGGGCACGCCCTCCCCCCCCCACCCCGGTTCCAACGGTCATGTATATAGTTTCAAAGTTAAATGACAACAAAGGTCATTTTTACACAAAGACACAAAAAACCTACGCGCCCGCGTGGCGCAGTGGTTAGAGCGTCTGCGTCTGAGTAAGGAGTTGATCCTAACGTCGCGGGTTCGAATCCCACTGTGGGAAGTGGAGACCGGTCCTTCGGAGGAGACCGTATAAACCGAGGTCCTGTGTCGCAGTAGGTGCTGGCACGAAAAAGATTCCTCACTGCTCAATGGCCCTAAGTGACGAGTATAGGTCAAAATTTGCAGCTCTCCGCCGGCAAGTGGTGGCGTCTCAAAATGAGTGAAAAATTCTCGAGAGGGACGTTAAACAACATACAAACAAACAAACACAAAAATTCTGCCTCTTCCACGTTTTATTCACCATTACTGCGGTGTGTGTCACACGCTTCAAGCATACTGTGGAATAAAGCCGATTGTCGTTGAAGGAATTAAAATGTTACAACCTTTCTAAACAAACTTCCGAATTGCGGCAGTCATATCTGAATATAAATTACTGGTTCCCAATTTGGTTCCTATACGCAGTACAGTTAAGGCGCCAAATGGAAATATAGGCGAGTTTTTTAGATAGAAAATACATTCTTTACAAGGATGGGCGTTTCTTTTTAGGACTTTACTATTATCGGACAAATGCAATGTGGTTGAAAACTACATGTTGAGGACGATTAGATTTCTTATTTAGACTTGTCACGTGATTTTAGCAAATATACCTGAAGTATTGAGGTCATCTATAAATTCTAATATTGCAAGGGCATAACCAAGTTAAAATTCTAAGTTTAACATATAATTATTTTCAACACTCTTTGTAGTTTGTGAAAAGTGCTGCGAACCTATATAGATTCTACTATCTAATTGCTTAAATTACATTTGTTAGACCGTATGTTGAATATTTTGCTGGTCAAGTACATTAAATAAAGATATAATTAATTCATTTGCAAGATTTCAACAGGTTCGCAGCACTTTTCAAATATCTTCGTACTTCTTCAGTTTATGTGTAAAAGCTTGTCATAATTCATTGAGGGTATGCCCTTGCAATATATCGATTTATTACGACCCTTCTATTACCCTTCAATGAATCTGCATACAAATATACGACAGTATCGCTTGTCTAGGGAATGTACGGGAAGTACATGAATAAAATCATAAAATAGACATCGCATCCAAGTTAATGGCCTCTTATATATCTACAATTTATATTTTATTTAATTACAAAATAGATTTTTCATTGTATAAATATAACTTGATCCGCCTCTCACTGCATACAAACTGCGTCAAATTTTACAATATGACGTCACATTGACAAGTGCATTGCGATCAGTGAATTTTTTATATATTGCTGTGTGGGATTTAACCAACGACAATAATGCATGCACTAGTTAGTATTGATGTAGTTTAAAGCTATTCAACAGTTTAAAATAGCAAATCATTTCATTTTGTGGTAATTTGAAGAACTTATATTTTTGTGTAATGTCATAGTAAGCATTTCCAGTATAAATTAGGCCCCGCCTCCTTACTGCAGCCTTAACTGTGCTGCGTAATTACAAATAAAAGTAAATAAGTTCTGGAATTCAATTCAATATAGTGTATTTTTTATCGGAAAGTTATCACTGAAGAAAACTTCATATATCAATATCTACTTAAGTACTGTATTTCAAAAAGTCTTTTATCTGTTTATTCTCGAAAAGTCAAAATAAATTGTGGATGAAAATACGTTAGGAAGTTTTCCATGTCAGCTATCTGAGGGAAGTGTATCTTTGAAAATGAAGATATATTGTCACGGTAAATACAAAGATTTCCTCACCCACCAGTCTGATGTGAAAATATGGGACTGTAGATACATATACGTTAGAGAGATTTTTGATAAAAATAAATTCTTTTATGGTATTTGCTTTGGAAGAACACATTACGTAATACATGTCTAACGTTGATTATACGAAACGAACACATTTAATCTAAAAAAAATCCTGAAGAACTCTCTATAAAGTTCGACGCTGCATGCTTCATTACATCAATTTAAATGACTACACTTGTATTTGTGCGGTTATGTTTCTAGATAGAAATATACAAAATTAAGGAATTTACAACAGTGTTTTATAACCCGGTGGAAACCATCAGCATTTGATTTTACAGTATAGTTTTGTAAAATAAGGAACATATTTTGATATTTGAATCATGAAATAAAAACATTTTAAATTAAAAATAAGAAATTAACGCAACTCTTTAAAAATACACAGGTTAGTGCCATTTATTTATATAACCTTGATGGCAGATAAGCCTGCAATAAAAGGATGTGCGTATGTGTGACCCCATAAAGCGGGGGGGGGGGGGGAGGGGGCATTCCACGTTACTAACCATCTTGTGAAACAGATTCTGAACTACATTCCACGAATAATGGTGAAATCATGACGTAAGGGCGGATTCATGAATTTTGCGCGATTTGTCAGAAAGGGTGGGGTGGGGGGTTTCATTGCTAAAACTTTAATTAAAAAAAAAATAACGTAGACATTTTGAATGCTGTTTTGTATACTTTTAAAGAAATCTGAGCATCTTGATGGTTTTTTTTTCGGGGGGGGGGGGGGGTTAAATGTTTAAAAGATTTTTATGTTAACTTATATGTATTCTTATGAATAAACCAAAACAAAGTACTAAATAGTGTTTTAGCTTTATTTATATATTAGCAAAATATCATACTTTATTGAAAAAAAAATCTAAGGAAGATAGTGCCTTTAATAAGATTCAT